GAAATTTAACTCATATCACAATAAATTGTACACAAATGCACATTACAAGATAGCATAAAAAATAAATTAAACAAACCACAAGGACTAAAAACTAAACACACACACATACATTCATTCATTTTCTTTTGCGGCTTAGTCCCTTTATTAATTCGGGGTCGCCACAGCAGAATGAACCACCAACTTATCCAGCATATTTGTTTACGCAGCGGATGCCCTTTCAGCTGCAACCCATCTCTGGGAAACATCCATATACACTCTTACACTACGGACAATTTAGCCTACACAATTCACCTGTACCGCATGTTTTTGGACTGTGGGGGAAACTGGAGCACCTGGAGGAAACCCACACGAACGCAAGGAGAATATGCAAACTCCACACAGAAACGCCAACTAACCCAGACAGCGACAGCATTACAATAGTAACACACATATAATTTAATAATAAACATTTAAACAATACTCCCCTGCTGTTAAAAACTCATATATTCATGTACAGGGACAATATAGTCTCACAGCATAGTCTTCTTGTAATCATGAAGGGTGGCCAATATTACTCAATGTTTTGATTTTGTTTCATAAACGTTATGTTACTGATTCTGTAAGTATACTGTAGATGTTAATATCTGATATCCACATTATGGTTGGTATGACTTACGTTTCTCAGACTGTAATTCAAAATTCTGTAAGTAATTCAATTTCCAAAGTCAGGGGCGTTTTTAATTATTTTGGGGTCCTATTAGGGCCCAAGTCCTGAAATGCACCCTTTTTACTTTTATTTAACATTTATATTGCTGTTTTATATATATATATATATATATATATATATATATATATATATATATATATATATATATATATATATATATATATCACTCAGTCTTCTTTTCGACATTTAAAACTAATGTAATCTTTACATTTTAAATTATTAGTTTTCTTAAAATAAATTTACTACTAAAAATAATATTTCACTTCATGGACTGCTTCATTATGGATATTTTATTTTGTAATATTATTATTATTACATAACATTACATTAGTATAATTATATTATATTCAATTGTATATTAAATAATATTTACTTACACTTTAATTGTATTTGTAACTCTCACCATACAAAATATGGTACAAAACAATGTTATATATAGTTTATAGGTATAGTTTAAACTTCTAGATATTTTTTGGGGGCTCCCAGATATCCTCACTTTATACTCGCTTACTGGTTAAATCCACCCATGTCCAAAGTGCTTGAGACATGCATTTAGCGCATTTACTTACAAGGCAAATTTCAGATAAATGCAGCACTTAACAGTGATTATACTTTACAATAAGTTTCATTAATTAATGTATTCACTAACATGAGCTAATTATGAACAATACTTGTACATGTTTTATTAATCATAGTTCAACATTTACCAATCCATTATTAACATCCAAATTTATGGTTGTTAGCATTAGTTAACTGAGTTAACATGAACTAACAATGAACGACTGTATTTTCATTGTCTTGCTTTACCTAACATGAACAAGTACTGTAATAAATGTATTGTTCATTGTTTGTACATGTAAATGCATTTTCTATCAAGGAGAAGCACTTTAGCAACGAGACCAACAGCCTGTAAGTACATTTAGACTTGTTTTCAGTTGTTGTGTATGGTTTGGAGACACTTAGACTTGTTTTCAGCTGTTTGTGTAAGTTTGTAGGACATTTAAACTTGTTTTCAGCTCTGTGTATGGTACCAGTTTACCCACTGTTTCCTTGGTTACTATAAGAGCTTGTGTGTTGAGCGCGGACGGTTTCGGGTGTTTTTACTCTCGAGGCGTGTCCAGCTGAATTCAATCAGCTAGTGCTCTGGGTGTCCAGTTGAATTCAATCAGCTAGTGCTCTGGGGTGTATATAAACAGCTAGTCTAGGTCACGGCAGCCTTGTGTGAAGACCGCCTAGTGTAAAGACCATCGACTCTACCTTCGCTATCGACTCTACCTGCAGCACTCCACCGAGCAGACAACAACAAAGCACCCGAGTACTTTACTTATTTATTTTACTTTATCTTTGCACGTATTATTGTTTTCATTGCACTTTTATTATGCGTTAACTAATTCCTGTTGTTACCAACACTCGCAAAGCACGTGAGGTACGCATTATGCGTAATCCTCACAACCTTCGTTCAATAAATGTATCTACTATTTCCCAACTCTCTCTCTCCGTGGGCCTCTGGAATTGTCAATCAGCTGTTAACAAGGCAGATTTTATTACCTCCATAGCTACACATTCTGACTATAATCTCATGGCTCTAACTGAGACCTGGTTGAGACCGGAGGACACTGATACACATGCAACTCTTTCTGCTAATTTCTCTTTTTCCCACACTCCTCGTCAGACAGGAAGAGGGGGTGGGACGGGACTACTGATTTCCAAAGAATGGAAATTCACTCAGAGACCGTCCCTGCCAACAATCAGCTCCTTTGAATGGCATGCAGTCTCCATTATCCACCCCTTCTACATAAATGTGGTTGTGATCTACCGCCCACCGAGTACATTAGGTCACTTCTTAGATGAATTGGATGTTCTGCTCTCATCTTTTTCTGATAATGACACTTCCTTGTTGGTGCTAGGTGACTTCAACATTCACATTGAAATACCTCTAGCTGCTGACTTCCAGACTCTGCTTGCCTCTTTTGACCTCAAAAGAGCACCTACTTCTGCTACTCACAAATCAGGTAATCAGCTAGACCTAATTTAGACTTGACATTGCTTCGCTGATCAAACACTAGTAACTCCACTACAAATATCGGATCATTTCCTTGTCTCGCAACATCCACATTACTCCTGAGCCGCCACACACTCCAACACTGGTTGCCTTTCGCAGAAACCTACGCTCTCTCTCACCCAATAGACTATCCACCATTGTTTCAGACTCTCTTCCTCCATCTTGCAAACTCTCTGCACTTGATACAACATGTGCCACTGATACACTCTGCTCCACACTAGCATCATGTCTAGACAGACTACGTCCTCTTACATCCAGGCCAGCCCGTGCCAGTCCTCCTGCACCCTGGCTCTCTGATGTTCTCTGTGAGCATCGCTCAAAACTTCAGACTGCAGAGAGAATTTGGCGGACAATTAAATATCCTGAACAGCTCATAACATACCAAACTCTTCTGTCTTCTTTCTCGGCTGAGGTTACTTCTGCAAAGCAGACATACTTCCGTCAGAAAATCAACAATGCCATCAATCCTCGCCTACTTTTTAAAACATTTTCCTCTCTCTTCTATCTTTCTCCTCCACCCGCATCCTCCACACTTAATACCAACACCACACACACTCACCTTTTTTTCTCAGCTCTCTGAGTCTAAGGTGTCCAAACTCATGCTATCTAGCCATGCAACCACCTGTCCACTTGATCCCATTCCCTCTCATCTCTTGACTCTGGTTTATACCCCACTTCATTTAAGCAGGCTCGGGTAACCCCACTGCTAAAAGAAACCCAACCTGGACCAAACGCTACTTGAAAACTACAGACCGGTATCCCTGCTTCCATTCATGGCCAAGATTCTGGAGAAAGTAGTGTTCAATCAAGTCCTGGACTTTTTTTACTCAAAACAACCTCATGGACAACAAGCAATCTGGCTTTAAGAAAGGCCACTCAACTGAGACTGCCCTGCTCTCGGTCGTGGAGGATCTCAGACTGGCTAAAGCAGACTCTAAATCATCAGTCCTCATCTTGCTGGATTTATCAGCTGCTTTTGACACTGTAAACCACCAGATCCTGCTATCTACGCCTGAGTCACTGGGCGTTGCGGGCACTGTTATACAATGGTTCAGATCTTACCTCACTGACAGGTCATTCAGGGTGTCTTGGAGGGGAGAGGTGTCCAACCTACAGCATCTAAACACTGGGGTACCTCAAGGCTCTGTTCTTGGGCCACTTCTCTTCTCCATCTACACGACATCTCTAGGACCAGTCATCCAAAAACATAGATTCTCCTACCACTGCTATGCTGATGATACCCAGCTATACCTCTCTTTTCACCCTGATGATCCCTCGGTTCCAGCTCGCATCTCAGCCTGCCTGTCGGACATTTCACACTGGATGAAAGATCATCATCTTCAGCTTAACCTCACGAAGACAGAAATGCTTGAAGTTTCTGCCAACCTGACTCTACACCATAACTTTTCAATCCAGATGGATGAGGCAACCATTACTGCATCCAGAATGGTGAAAAGCCTTGGAGTAACGATTGATGACCAACTAAACTTCTCTGACCACATTTCTAGAACTGAACGATCGTGCAGATTCGCACTCTATAACATCAGAAAGGTCCGACCCTTCTTATCTGAACATGCAGCTCAACTACTTGTTCAAGCTCTTGTTCTCTCCAGACTGGATAACTGCAACTCTCTACTAGCGGGGCTTCCAGCTAACTCTATCAAACCTCTTCAGCTGCTCCAGAACGCAGCAGCACGAGTGGTCTTTAATGAACCTAAAAGAGCACAGGTCACTCCGCTACTCACCCGTTTGCACTGGCTGCCAGTTGCTGCTCGCATCAAATTCAAAGCTCTGATGTTTCCCTACAAAGCCACCTCTGGCTTTGCTCCTTCTTATCTGCTCTCACTTCTGCTGATTTATGTGCCCTCCAGAAACTTGCGTTCTGTGAATGAACGTCGCCTCGTGGTTCCATCCCAAAGAGGGAAGAAATCACTTTCCCGAACTCTCGCATTCAATCTGCCCAGTTGGTGGAATGAACTCCCTAACTGCATCAGAACGGCAGAGTCACTCGCTGTCTTCAAGAAACGACTAAAAACTCAAATATTTAATCTATACTTCACTTCCTAATCTGCAATTGCCTCTCTGGCTATAACACTAACTGTACTCAAAAAAAAAAAAAAAAACTTACATTACTAATGCTTTCCTTCTTAGACTTTACACACCTGAAACTTGTCTACAGCACTTATTCATTGTGGCTCTTATAGTTGTGTAAATTCCTTCCTTGTCCTCATTTGTAAGTCGCTTTGGATAAAAGCGTCAGCTAAATGACTAAATGTAAATGTAAATGTAACATTAACTTATACAACCTCATCGTAAAGTATTACTGGGACAGTTCACCCAAAATTTAAAATGTGCATTTACTCAAGTAACATTACAAGTAACACTCAAATGCAAGTGGTTCTAAACTTTTATAAAATTATTTTTGCTGTTGAAAACAAAACAAGATTTTTAGAAGAATGTTGGGGGGAAATAGTCATTGACATCCATAGTAGAATAAAAAATACTATTGAATTCAATGGCTGCTTTTTTCAAAGATTCTACAGTACATCTTCTTTTGTGAAATGAAGGACGAGTAAATATTGACTGAATTACATTTTTGGGGTGAACTATTCCATAAATGCCACATCCACATAACTGTCTAGGACATACATTATCTTCAACATTTAGTTTCTCTGTCATTACATGAAATTACTTTGCCTATCTGAGATCTTTCTGGTTTCATTAAATAAATTAACGTTAAGTCCTAGCTTTTTTAAAGTTAGCCCCTGTGTTGGTTTTATCAGCTGGTCGCTTCTTTCCAGAGCTTGGTGTGTTTTTGACTGATGATCCATAATGTTGCGGGATGTCCTGTAGAAAGACATACAGTTAAAGTAAGAATGATTAGCTGCCCTTTTTTAAATATTTCCCAAATGATGTTTAACAAAGTAAGGAAATTTTCACAGTGTGTCTGATGATATTTTTTCCTCTGGAAAAAAAGTCTTATTTATTTCGTCTGGAATAAAAGCAGTTTTTTAAAAGCCATTTTATGGTCAAAATTATTAGCCCCTTTAAGCTATATTTTTTGATAGACTACAGAACAAACCATCGGTATACAATAACTTGCCTAATTACCCTAACCTGCCTAGTAAACCTAATTAACCTACTTAAGCCTTTAAATGTCACTTTAAGCTGTATAGAAGTGTCTAGTAAAATATTACTAGTAAATAATAATAAAAGTAGAATATTATTTACTGTCATCATGGAAAAGATAAAATAAATCAGTTATTAGAAATGATTTATTAAAATTATTATGTAAATAAATGTGTTGAAACAATCTTTTCTCCATTAAACAGAAATTTGGGAAAAAAAATGAACAGGGGGGCTAATAATTCAGGGCGGCTAATAATTCTGACTTCAACTGTAATTCATTATGTAAAATTTTACAGATACAAGCATGACATACCAAGACAAACTTACGGTAATAGGCAGTAAACAGTTTCTAGATAAGCTTAAATAAATGCAAGATAATAAATGTCATACCTCCTCTTTTAAATCAGCATGGCTTCTTTCGTGACTAGATGAGCAGTGTGGACCTTGCTCTGAGTTTCCACCTATAAAAAACAACACCTCAGAGATAAACTGTCCTATATGGTGCAATAAAACACAAGTGCAGTAAGCTATTCTAATCAGAGCTCCTTGCTCACGTGCTATGAGTATGTTGCTATATTAATCTTACAGTGTTTTGGGAGGTCCCGAAGCTGGATATTCAACCACACATTACGTCTCTGAGGCCATTCACCAGGGGCTTCCACTTCATAGAGACGCTCTCTTTCTTTTTCATGGACCTCAAGATACTTCTTGCACACTGTAAACCATTATTTTAACAAGTCGTGTAAACCTTGTGGTCACAGGCCTTCATTGCACTTATAATAACAGATAAGAGTTGTTTAATAAACAGTCAATGTAAACCAATGAGGGAAATATGAGTGGTTTGTGTTTTCTGCACACATATGGTATAATCATTTAAAGGATTTAATCTGATACTTAAATGGTGTCATCACTCCTAAACCTTGTACTATGACATATTATATTGAATCTGTTTTCTAAAGAAATTTATATTTTTTATTCAGAAAGTATGCATTACATTGATCAAAAATAAAGACATTTATAATGTTAAAATAGATTTTCATGTCAGATAAATGTTTGTTTCTATTCATTAAAGAGATATAGCAATATATGAGCAATATCACATGAGTAGCAGTGCGATATGGCTGTATATCGGCACTGGTGGGAGGCGTGCGCCTCATTGTCCCACCAGTGACGATATAGAGCCATATCGCTCTGCTACTCGTGTGATAATGTGTTTATACAACAGTTCGACAGCATAATCATGTACAAGAAAAAAATCAAATGCGGAGAGTCTCAAAAACCCTTTTGTATGAGGAACTACTTTCTTCCACCATTCATTCACATCTGCAGCTGTCGTCAGAAAAGCAGAAACCGTTGCTCATTCACTAGCGCCACTTTAGAGCTTTATTTGAATGAATGTCTAGCGTAATGTCTAAAGTGATGACAAAACGGGTGTTTCTGCTGACATTTTAAGATTATGAGGATGAACAGCATGAAATGGCATCAGTCTACAGAGGTTTCCCAATATTTATGCTGCAATCTGGAGGATCACAATAATTATCCCTGCAATATATATATATATATATATATATATATATATATATATATATATATATATATATATATATATATATATATATATATATATATATACTCACAGTTAAACCTTTATACGATTTTTCTGTTGAGCAAAACAAGAAATTTAAAAAATTAAAGTAGAATTTTTTTTAAAAATTAAATTAAAAGTAGAAAAAGACAATATGGAAGTAAACGGTTGCCATGTTTACAACATTCTTCAAAATATCTAATTTTCTGTCCAAAAGGAGTAAAAGGTTTAGAGTTGTGAATAAATAATGACAAAATTTGTATTTTGTACTTGAACTATCCCTTTAAATAATACTAAAAACCATATCAAATTTTCCACAAAAACATCTTGAACAACTGTTTTCAACACTGATGATACAAAAAAAGGTTCTTGAGCACAAAATCAGCATATTTTTAATCCTAATGTACACCTACCTCCATACATGCTAGGAGACATAGGAAAGCTAATTCCCAGAATGCACTCAAAGGGCTGAGATGAGCAGAAATCTTCCAGCATCTGTAAAGCAAGTCCAGTCCTTCTCCAGCGAGGGCGAACAAACACAGTATCCAACACAGGGAGCCGATAACTCTGGCCAGTGCTGCCATTACACAGACTGCCTATAAAAAACAGAAAAATAATGAAAACAATTTTTAAATCCACCATAAATTTCTAAAAATACTACAACCTTATTTCCAAACACATTACCCTTTTTCTTGACAGTATAAAACCCAACAGCTTCACCATCTTGCCACAGGACTTTGCCATGTTCCCTCAAAGAATAGGCAGAAAAATATAGGTCATCTTCAAGAGGCCTTTCCAGAATCCCAAATATAACTTGACTGAGCAGGAATAGCACGACTCTCTCCATCAGAGACTCCACCTGGGATGACAATATCTGTCATGGCTATCGTGGAAATGATGATTTTATTTCTGCTCAAAACATTGCAGACTAAAATGTAGTCTGTCAGACTGTGTTACTCACTAACAAAAGTCCACATCTGGATTTGTTTGACGTCTTTAAAACATCACCAACAGGCCACCATTTGCCTTGCAGGAACATGGCAACCACTAAAATAACAGGGTTTATATTAATATCTAAATAGACCGTATGACTCAAAAGTGGCATAGGAAGGATAGTGTTATATTGTGTGGAGTCAGACCTTGAGATTCATCCTCGGGTGTGTGAAGAGCAAGAATAAAATGTGATAAATCACCATCATTCAGAAACAAGAGCTGACCAATGTTCTCACTGCTTACTTTCACCTGTAAACACAAATATCACTCTTTAATGAGGAATTTAAATTATATCATCATTTACACACACTCTGTTTCTTCCAAACATGTAAGTAATCAAACAGTTGGTCCTTATTGACTTCTAATTATTTTTGCCACTATTTATAGAAGTCAGTGGGGGCCATCAAACATTTTAGTTAACAACATGCTAAAAAATATCTTCTTTTGTGTTCAGCAGAAAAACAGAAACACACACAAGAATAAAAAAACTTGATGGTGTGTGAATAGTAAATAGGACCACATTGAATCTGTGCTTGCCTATTTCCGCAGATGGTTAATGCTGTCACTTCATTTATTTATGTACATGGGTGTAAATGTATGCATATTTATTTGTTTTATACATATAAATACAATATGCAAATGTTTAGATTATTTGTGTAAAACACAATTTGTAATGTAATATTTTCACTCCATTACATGAGAAACCTTCTGAAGCTTTTATACATGTTGTTCAAACTGGATTTGCGGGAAAAAAGTTGTAAAGTTTCAAAGATTTTTTTATTTGAATTGTTATTTTTTCATCCTTTGCACTGTGAAAAACATTCCTCATAAATCCAAAGCATTTTTTCCTTTTAATTATTAATTCATTTATTAATTCTGCAAAAAAAAAAAAAAAAAAAAAAAACATTTTCAGACATTTTGGGCGAATAACTTCTGTGTAAAACCAATAAGCTTTTAAAACCAATAAGATTTAGGGTATAACTATTTTTTGTATTGAATGGTAGGCTATTGTATTTGTTCTCACTTTCTCTCCATTAGTGTGGGTAATATGTGTGGCACCTCTTGAATGGACACTGGACAGGTCGTCATATCCTACGCTCAGCTCTCCATAATTCTCCACAGGTAGATCCACAGGATAGGGTTTCACTAGAAAACCACATTTGATTAAACAGTAAATAAATCAAGCTTTAAGGTCCATGATGGCTTTATGTCAATGTTTTTCGTATAGTAAGATTTTATTGACGGCGCTTCTGTGACCTATCAAGTGTCTGAGTGACGTAGCTGAACAGTTGCGCGATTTTGTTTACATGAAAAACAACTTTTTTAAAAGCTCCCATTAAACATACAGAAATTTGATAATGCTTGGGTAATTAACTGAGGAAATGCTGTATGTCTGTTCTTACCTTCCCCACTATTCTCCAGTTTAGAGCTGGATTCCATTTTGGTAGTTCGACCTTTGAATGTTTCGAAACAGAACAGCGCCATCTAGGGTTTTTGAAAGCTAAAGAGAAGAAATCATTCATGAATTTTTTTAAACTGCAGAGGGTTTAGGATATTTCACACTATAATATTTATTCAGGTGAGGTTTTTACAAGATTTGCATGATTTAAAATACAATAGGTAACGTTACTGGCACTATGAAAGTAAAAAAACATATACAGGTGAATACACATATACAAAGAGAATAACTCAAAATATTGAAGATTTATAAATTAAAACGATAGGTCTATGCAAGCGAACATAATTTATAACAATGTTATCTTTAATAGACAGCATCAGAAAATGATCATGAGCATGTACTAATGTAAAAAATCTATCCTGGATGCCCCAAAGGTAAGTACAATTTTAATTTTAGGTAAAATATTTGTTTGTTTGTTTGTTTGTTTGTTTTTTGCTGTTATTTTATTTCTTTTTGTTATTAGCAAGACTGATTAGACTGATTAAATAAATGACAAATTAACTAAATGTATGTACTATTGTTATATTTGGTAATTTGACTTGAAATGTTTATTATAATTATCTATTTTTTATATCTTCATATTATAGTCATTACTTTAAGAAAAATCGCAGGTCTTTGGAAAAAATAAAAAACCTCCTTTACTATAGTAATCTAAAAAATAATTAATTGATAGAATCAAAAATATCCTATAGAACAAAGTGAAATTCCATTTTTTTTAAAAAAGAAAAAACACAGTGTCTAATAATTAAAAAAAATCAAAATCAGATCCTGAAGGACATATAGGAGTCATAATGCCCATAAGGATTTTAAAATTTTATAAGACAAAGTGGAAATCCATTTAAAAATTATGAATGTCCATTTACATTTTTAAATCCTATAAGACAAAGTGAAATTCCACTTTTTTAAAAACTGAATGTCCATTAGAAATTGCAATAGGATTTTTTTGACAAAGGTTCTTTTAGGATACATAAACACAGACCTCCTGTTACATATTGCATAAAATTACTTCACGCTGTACTTTACATTAGTTTATAGAAACTTGAAGTAGGCTATTTCATAAAGCATGACACCTCATTTTTGAAATTATACATAATTGTATAACATCCATGAGCTTGAGCTTATTCTAGCCTTTTTCATAACCGTGAAACAGACAGACAGCATAAAATAACTTATTTATTTGTGTATCAACTGTATATCGTACATTCATACAACTGTTTCAAGGATTGCTTATTTTTAATTGAAATATTTGTTGGTCCCTTATTAAAATGTTAACTTTTAAATTTGAGAAGTGAGAAAATTACTATTCTACCATTTTGTCCCCTTGACAGACATGCATATATCTGTAATATTTGTTCTTTCCCTTATAAAAGTTATATCAGTTTTTACTGATTTTATTCTAACGTATGTTTACATATTTAGTGTATAAATATGCAGAGGTGGATTAATTAATAAGCAAGGCCAGTAGTCGCTTAGGGCCCCAGGAAATCTGAGGGCTCCCAAATAAATACCTAAGTATAAATGATACTGAGCGACACGGTGGCACAGTAGATAGTGCTGTCGCCTCACAGCAAGAAGGTCGCTGGTTCGAGCCTCGGCTGGGTCAGTTGGTATTTCTCTGTGGAGTTTGCATGTTCTCCCCGCTTGTGTGGGTTTTCTCTGGGTGCTCCGGTTTCCCCCACAGTCCAAAGACATGCGGTACAGGTGAATTGGGCAGGCTAAATTGCCCGTAGTGTATGTTTGTGAATGAGAGTGTATGGGTGTTACCCAGTGATGGTATGCAGCTGGAAGGGCATCCGCTGCATGAAACATGTGCTGGATAAGTTGGTGATTCATTCCGCTGTGGCGACCCCAGATTAATAAAAAGACTAAGCCAAAAAGAATATGAATGAATGAATGAATGATACTTAAATTATATATAACATTGTTTTCTATCATATTTTGTACGGTGAGCGTCCCCCACCTTGAGTCATCGACCAGTCCAGCAGTCAAAACAGTAAAGATTTAGTTTTTAAAACAAAATGATTCATTTATTATTTTTAGTTGTGAATCCTAAGAAAACACATAGTTATAGAATTTAGAAACATATAGTTATTGAATAGTTTCAAGAGATGTTTTACATCCTATTATTATTTTGCATTAAGATAAAATGCAAAAAATGAGATCAAATGATATAAGAAGAGCAAAAAAATAATAAAAAAATTTAAGTATAAAAGTACGATGACGTATGGAAGGTCACTGTACAAAAGGTCAATTTTAGAACCATCGCTGGAACTGCTTAGGGCCCCAAAATCATTAAATCCACCCCTGTACAAATTGTAGCATGATAAAAAAAGGTTCAAGATAGTTCCTGTGTTCTATTTTGAAGTGTATCTGTATTTGCAATGTGGGGTTGTAAGGGTTTTCTTGGGAGATTTTGGGAAAAAGCGAGTCTGCGCACTCGAGAGGGAGGGAGGGGTTTTCCGATTGAATGAGACAGGTATGTTCTTTTTTGAGTGTGTGACACTGTGGGTTTTCCAGCGAACACAAGGATTACTCTGTCTGCAACGTGCAAAAGTTTATTAAAAGACGAGCTTGAACTGTTAAATTCTTCCTGGCTTTTTCGGTTCATTACAATATGGTATTTAGTTATTAAGCTTTTAAGGTAGAAAAAAATATTTTAGTTCCAATGCAAAAAAGACCAAACTGACTGTTCCTGACACATAATGTTTAACCTTTTAAGTGCCCCTCTAAGAAAAAAAAGTCTATTGCATTTCTTAACTCCTAATGTTGCTAGTTAACACACTTAGTGGATTATTTTTCAACACATGCCATAATTCTAAAATATCAACCTCTACCATATGGTAGATATGTCAGTTTAAAGTACTGGATTTATTACATATATTATGAAAAATAAAAAACAATATGAAGTGTAAGACAAAATATAACATTTCTGAATACTAAAACATCTTTATTATTGAAGTATGTCATAAAATATTTCAGATTCTCATTATATGCTTTCTATTCTTTTCTTTTTTTTTACAATAAAATCAAAATCAAGTGTAGTAGTGCAACAGGATTATGTTTGTTGGATTAATTTGTAAACCAACAATGCTGTGTACTGTAAATCATTATTTTAAAAAAAATCATTCTTTAAATGACTTTAACATTTAAAACAGTCAAAATATTGTCAACCATTTGTTAGAGTAAGCAGTTAAAGGGTTATTTATATTGTCCACAAGGTGGCAACAAAGACACACAAATGAGAAAGAGAAAAAAAACATGAAAGGCCTTTTTGAACAAACATGTTTTTAAGCACATTCTTTCCCTCAAAACAGAAATGCTAATTCTAAGGTTTATAATCTTATAATATAACCTTTTTATTTAACGGGAGCCAAAAATCACAGACAAAATGCTCTGACCATATTATCAACATATTACGCACTCTATATTTTTTTAATTTTAAAATTCTACAATTAGAGCTTTGAGGTTTTATGCAACACGAATGCACTATACTTTGCATATTTTGACCTTGCTTTTCTACAGTTAAGGCTGCAGTCGTGTAACCAGACCCACTCAATCGCTCCTGCTATGGAAAATGCATTCTGTGTCCATTTTATTCCCTTCATCTCCATTACCCATAAACCACACTGACTTCCCCCTGAGAAATAGCAGACATTTCTGAAATTCCTTTCACTAGGAAAGGCTAGCTTGGATTGTTAAAAATGATTTTGTAAAGCTGAGAGTTCATCCTCAAAAGGGATTGACTGTCTGTCGCTCGGCTGTTGAACTGCAGATGAAATTTGGCATCAGAGCAAATATTGCAGCAAAGTATATTAGGCAAAAGAGTTGAAATGCAAAACATCTATTTGGTTATGCTTAAGATGTAAAACGGGATCTGGCTTTGCATATCAGTGGGCTGTTTTTTGAAAGCCATGCGGGATTCCTTGAGTGTCTTCAATACGAGTCACATGATCAGACCTTACAAGAGGATTATGACATTGGCCTTGCTGTACTGAACCCTGGCCTACTTAGTAACCCTTGAGAGATGACACTGACTGAATAATGGCATTCTCACTGGTCTAGACTAGATTTTTTTTACATAATATAAACAGCTATGTTGGATTACGAATGTTGAGTGTAGAATATTTTATACCACAAGTTTTGCATTTATATAAAAATAGTCAATAATTAAGTTAAAAATAGCTGTTAAAACGTTGTATTTATAACTACGCAAAACATCTAATCCAATTACAGATTCTGTACATAGCATTGCTTTTAAAAAAATTGTAAAGAAAATTAACATTAAAGAAAGTGGTGCAGTGGGTAGCACAATCGCCTCATAGCAAAAAGGTCGTTGGTTCGAGCCCTGGCTGGGTCAGTTGGCATTTCTGTGTGGAGTTTGCATGCTCTCTCCATGTTCGAATAGGTTACCTCCGGGTGCTCCAGTTTCCTAGTCCACAGACATGCACTATAGGTGAATTGAATAAGCTAAAATTGGTTTAGTGTATGTGTGTGAAAGAGTGTGATTCCCAGTGCTGGAAGGGCATCTGCTGTGCAAAACATATGCTGGATAAGTCGGCGGTTCATTCCGCTGTGGCGACCCCTGATTAATAAAGGGACTAAGCCGAAAAAAGAAAATGAATGAATGAAAAAACTGTAGACAAAACCAACAGATAAGTAAATGTGATAACATATAAGTAAAATAAAACTCTTAAAATGCTTGAATAAATAATAAATATCCCAGTACAGCAAAATTATTATAATATAAAAAAAGTTCAGCAGGAACTACTCAAAGAAAAGTATAAATGCTAAATAATTTATACTGTTTAATTAAGCATAAAAGTTAAGTTAAAAAAATAACTGTTACAAGTGATAAAACATGCAAACATGTTGTTATGTGTATGACTTTTAGGGTTTATGATTATTTTCTATTTATAACTTTGTGTAAAACACATGTAATCCAACTAATTAAACTATAATGTAACAATATGTCAAATAATAGATGTTGAGAATTTAAAAAAAAGGTTAACTTTATAATAATAATAAC